AATGCATCTGGGGTGACCTGGAGTTTTGTGTGGGAGAAGAGAATGGTGGACAGTAACATCTGAGTAATGTCTGAGCTCTAAGCCTTTGCCCATTTGATGGAGCTCAATGTCCATCATTTGTTTGATCTTCATATTCTTTCAACGATCTCCTCTGGGTCCCTGGTGGCTACGGCCAACACTCCCCACATACCCAGTCTCCCACTTGGAGGTAGTATCCTCATGTAATTTAAAGATAAGGAAACTGAGGCTTAGATGAAGGGACTTACCTGAGGTCACAGAGAGAGGAAGGGATGGGGTCACATTCGCCTAGCTGCCTCCCAGGAGTGCCATAGGCATGAAAAATTTTTTAAAACAGCCCCCTGAGCATCTTGTCTCCACAGTTCCCTGACTTCTGGTACCTCCTGGTGGTCAGACAGATGATGGGGGAGGAGATGGGAATTTGGTGCTGAACTTTGTCCCTAGTCAAGCAGTATCAAGGCTCTGTGAGAAGCCGGCTCTGAATGTCAAGGTCCTGGGCCAAGGCTTGCAGAGATGTCTGTCCTGACTGGGACCGCTAAAGGACAACCAGTCCCTCCCCGCCAGCAGGATGTATAACTCAGCTAGAGAAACGGGCCAGAGCCTTCTCCATGCTCTCGGTGGTAAACACCAAACTAGCTTCATTCCCTAAGATCTTTACCCAGAAATCTTGTTCCTCTGCCAGCTTGATGTCTCGGGCTGGGCCACATGTCCGGACCCCTCGAGAGCAGGTTACTCATGGGTGGGTAGCTCTGCGATGCAGACTCCCCCTGATACCTCAAGGCGAGACCAACCAAAGTCTTAAGAGTAGACTCTTAGGGTGCACTCTGGGGGTGAACCCTTATCCTAACACAGACCTAACCACTAGCTAGCACAAGGGGTGGGAGCTGTAACCCTACTCGTAACCGGAACCTGGGCTCCAATGGCAGAACTTGAAGGTTTACGTGTCAGGTCACTTAAAATCCTGCTACCACTCCCAACAGAATTTGAGAATGAAACCCAACCAAACCAAGCCCATTGTTTCCTTTTTCCCAACTGCCTCATCTCTTTATTCCAACAACCAACTTGCTAACTGCTGGCTACGAGTCCTGCATAGTCCCTCACATCGCCACACGTTTGCCTCAACTTCACACTGACCCATTTGACAAAAGTCCTGCTGGTGAGAAAGGAAAGTCTCAGCCGGGGAAAGGCAGCTGTGGACCAGGGGCCGGGCAGGAGGGACGCCGGATATCATGCTTTCTAGTTCTTGACGTAAGCTCACCTCTCTACCACCCTCCGACTGTGCCCTCGGAGGTTCCCAGAGCACGGCAGCACCCCGGCGTGACGCCCCGTCCCCTAATATCTGCGAGTCACCAGGACATGCGCCCTGGGAGTTTTCCCACCTGGCAGCGGCTGGTTCCTTTTGGCTTGCAGAGGTTTTCCCGGGTGGGCAGACACAGCACCCCCTCCGGGTGGCAGACTCCCAGGTCTGCACCCGCATCGCTGCCCGAGGAGCGTGCGAATGCGTGAGCACCTTCACTGGATGCCCGCGGGCTCGCAATACATCGCCTTTCATCATGGGAACGGGAAGAGCTTCCCGACATTCCCACCAGGCGATTCCGTCACCCCCACCTGTGAATCCGCCCCTTCTTTCTGCTCCTGGGGCAGGCGCCCCCTCGGCTCCGTCCTCCGAGCCTTCGCGGGTGTCACGCCGATCCTCCCGCCCGCTTCTCGCTCTTTTGGACACAGGAAGCCCGAACGCGCTCCTCATGGAGAGGGAAGTCCGGGCCAAGGCCGGCGGGTGGCACACCCCACCTCAGTTCCCAGCACCCCGAAACCCAGCCTGGGGAACAAAAGGAAGAAGGTGTCTTACCTTTCGAGGGTCGCCTTTGTTTGGTTTGCAGAGATGAGAAGGTGCCCATGACGGCCCCCATGGCAGCGAAGACTTGTGTGCGACTTGGGACCCCGGGCCCTGCCCCTTCCCTCCCCTGGAAAGAAACCAGTTCGGATCGGCTACTCCGAACGGGAGGAGAAAAAGAAGCACCCGGCGGCCCGCGCGCCTGCAGCTCGGGCTTCAGCGAGCGTGGGGCTGGGGCGCCGGGAGCCTTTCCGTTCCTCCTTCAGCCCGCACATGC